TGTTCAACGCCAATGAGATCTTGAAACAAAAGTAGAGTCTAAACAGAAGAAGAAGAAGAAAAATGGACAGATGTGTGACTCCTGCTCTCTGCTTAACCTTCAATTCGAATGTCAAAACTGTCTTGGTGCCAAATGATTTTTCTAGCTGCTAGGGTGGGCGTGGGGGCATGTAGGTGAGAATAAAATTGCTGGTTTAGCTATGGTGGTATTGAGATGGATTAACCGGTTGTTGGGTTTAAGTATTGGAATTACCGTTTTTTTTAGGTCTGTCGGACTATTTAAGGAAAATGGTGATCAAAGTTGGGACTATAGGAAAATAATCTAAAATAGGGATTATTAAAAGCGGACCACAAATAGTTGAGATTAATAATACCAATTTTTCCTATGAAAAACAGGAAAAGTGAAGTAGATTCGAGGAAGCTTCATAAGGGAATCACATGGGATATAGTGTCACAATACCCAACACAACTCTATAAGTAAGTTATATGGGTCTTCTTGAATATTTTGAGGTTAGGTGGTTGAAATGTATGAAAACGAAGATAAAACGTAGAAAAACTAATACTCCCTCCATTCTTAATTAATAGTCCTCTTAGGTTTATTGTAGTTTTTAAGAGAAAAATGGTAGGGGTAGTATAGAGGGCGTAGAGTAACTGAAAAAGTAGGAAAGAGAAACTATTGAAAATACGGAGTAGTAAAATAATGATAAAGTAATAAAAGAGAAAGTGGTATGAAAACAGTAAAAAGGGGTAAGAGAAATAAAAGTGAGAGGAAAATGAGTTAAATATCCCAAACTTTGAAGGCGTGTGAGATAAGTACTCAAAACTTGCATATGTAATACTTCCTCCGTATTTCAATGTTCTCTACAATAGGTCTGAGCACAAGATTTAAGGGTAAAATAGTAGGGGTAGTGAATAGTGTGGAAAAAGTAGGAGAAGAGGTGGAAAAGTATGAAAGAAAAGATAAAAAGTAGAAAAAGTAAGGGTAATTGAATATTTTTAAAGGAAAAACTTGCCAAAAAGGGAAATTGTAGCAAACTTTTAAATACATCAAAAAAGGAAAGTGTAGCAAACTTTAAAATACGGAGGGAGTGTATATATCCCAAACTTTATATAAAAAGTTATATTGTCACAATGATCATATGTTTGTTCACAAATATTCCGTATTATTTTATGGTATTAAGTACATAATTTAAAATACACAAACTGAGGATACAATTAAAATTAAATTGTACAGGATGCAATGTATTTATTTCACAAATGAAATTTTAAAATGTTAACTACATTCTGACAAATCTTAGAGTATTTCTAAATTATGTAATTATTATTCCAATAAATTGTATTTGTAAAAAAACATACAATCGTGGTGCGAAAATAACTTTTTATATAAAGTTCGGAGTAAATATTATTACATATGCAAGTTTGGATACTCATTTTACAAAACATTGAGGTTTGAGGTGTTTAAATTATTTTTCTAAATGTGTGAATATAAAGGTATTTTGATTGACAAAAGTTACTAAAAGAAGAAAGATGGAAAAATATTTAAAAACATCCCAAAAAGGAATACGTGATATTTATTAGAAAAACAAAGGGAATAGTAATTAAGTACTCCGTATTATTAAAGAAAAATGGGGTTCTGACTTTGAATATTATTAAAAATAGATAATGGACATAAAAGTGGTCATTTTTTAAAGTTACAAAAATGTGACTAACAAGGTTATATATATTTGGAAAACATGATGTTTCTACGAGATTCTTGCCACTAACAGAATGTCATTACCAAATTTTCATGTCACTTACAAAGGTGACTATTGTGAAACATGTCACTATGACCGTCAAACTTTCCGACATTTTTTCCCCCGAGGAAACTTATAGCACGCCCTAACTCTTTCTAGCCCCCCTCCCTATGATTTGTACTGCCACTATCCCAATCCAGTCCCTGCAACGGCCCAACCACTGCCCCTAGCAATTTCCCTGCAACGGCCCTACCATTGTCGCCCTGAAACCCTACGTGGCGACAGTTATCTGGTTGCCACGTGTGGCCGTTCAGTGAGACACATTTCGTCCAACCAACTATCAGCCTAGCACCATCAATCATGATCTTGTCATAGTAACTTCCATCACCACCATAGTTGCCACTTTTCATCATCGTCAAACTCCAATCGGTCTCATCGCTCGCCATCGTTTGCCATACATCTCTGTTATGCTAACTACGGATTTGAAGGGATTTAACCCTCATCCATATAGAAGATGAGAAGAAGCGAATGAAGAAAAGGAGAAGAATGACAAACTTGCATAGTTAACACCGACGACGTGGATGCGGAGAAGGCAACGGTGGAGCGTTGGCATTGCGGATGTGGCAGAGGTGGGTGGAGGCCACCCACCTGAAGATAAGCGGGAGCCTGGGGCGCAGTAGGTGGATGGGAAGACGGGAGAAAAGTAAGGCATGAGTCACTTTTTTGTTCTGACATAAATTAGTAATAGAGTTTTTTACAAGAATATTACTAAAATAAAACTTATTTACATAAATATGACTATTCATTACTACAACGTAGTGCTGTGGTACCTTAAGTTCAAAATTTGAACATGAATTACTTTGATTTCATTACTATTCTAGTAACTAGTCATATTTTCGTAAACCATCTTTATTTTGATCATATTTATGTAATTATTTCTTAGTAATATTTTATCTCCATTACAACTCTAAGAGTAATATTCGCATTATTCTTTCAATGGAAAACTTACTCAAAAAAGTGTAACGAAAATTAAAATGCATCTCGAAAAAGAAAGCGCAGCAACTATTTCAATACATCCCAAAAATTAAGGTATAACAAACATTTCAAATATGAAACCCCTCATATTGAAATGTTTACTACACGCTGTTTTTTGATGTATTTTTATTTTTATTACATTTATCATTTTCGTCAAGTTTTCTCTTTTTAAAAATATTCAACTATTCTTACTTTTTCGACTGTTTAACTTCTCTTTCATACGTTTTCTCTAATATTTTTTCTCTAAACATTGTGTCAACCCCTATTATAAGTAAAACTTCAGCACAAATGGAGTGCTTCAATAAAATTTATTTACATAAGGTGTATTTGAATCTACTTTTTAAAACTGTTTCTGGTTCTTCAAGGAGCAGAAGTAGATATTGAAACATTTAACTGAAATTGCATATTTTTTAACTCTGAGGGAGACCAACTTCACAAAAACTAATTAAGTTTCATCTTTAAAAAAGAATCAGAAGAACAATCAATTCAAAACATCCATAATATGACTAAATTTAGTATATATGAACATAATAGCATAATAAGTACCTAAGAGTAAAAGTTGAATATGAGTTAATATGACTACAGTTAATTATATAAATACTATACTAAAGCATGTCACATTTTTTTTTATAAAAAAACATTTATTTTAATTATAAATATTTAATTGTTTCTTAACAATATTCACTTTCCAATCTGCCCGGAGGAGGTGAAGATTGTTGTCTTTGATATGCATCTGGATAAAGCGCCAGGCTCGGATGGCATGAACCCAACATTCTTTCAGGCCTACTGGGACGTAGTGGGACCGGATGTATCGGTTCTATGTAGAAGTATGTTTGAATCAGGTAAGTTAGCTGATCATATCAATACTACTAATATTGTGTTGATACTGATACCTAAGAAGGATAAACCTGAGTGCATGTGTGATTGGAGGCCTATTGCGTTGTGCAATGTGGTGTTCAATTTTTTTCCCCAAAATTTTAGCTAACAAGTTGAAAGGCATTTTGCATGGCTTAGTGGGAGAAAGTCAGAGTGATTTTATTCCGGGGAGGTCCATTACGGATAATATTATAGTCGCTTTTGAAACTCAGCATTACCTCAAGCGAAAAACTAAAGGGAAGGAGGGGCATATTGCTCTAAAACTGGATATGAGCAAAGCACATGACAAGGTGGACTGGATTTTTTTAGAATGAATTTTAGCTAAAATGGGCTTTAGTGAGCGATGGATCCAGGTGGTTATGGAGTGTGTCAGATATGTTAACTATTTTTTTCAGGTTGATTGGGGTTCTTGATGGCTCTCTCCCATCTTCTGCTAATCTTGAAAAAAGGGTGTTCCGTTGCAAAATATTTGTAAAGCTTGTTTGCAGGATGAAGAAACAACCGATCATGCACTCCAGAGGTGTCCAAAAGCAATCTGGGCTGAGGCTGGGATAGACACGGGGGCAGGCAACGTTGCTTTGGAGTAGAGGCTGAAAAATCTTCTTTCGGGTCCGGACAAGGAGATGAGATGCAAGGTGATGATGCTAACTTGAGGTATTTGGAAGCCTCGGAACTCGCTCGTGTGGGACGGTGCTTGGCAGCAGCCAGCTAGACTGATAAACTGCTGTGCCAGCGTGCTGCATGCCTGGCGGGATGCGCATCAACAGATCACGGTGATGGCGAATAGCGACACGCGGTCGGATGGCTCTTCCTAGGCAAAACCGCAAAATGGGAGGATCAAAATTAATAGTGATGCTGCGGTGGATCTGTCTAGAGGTATTAGAGCCTGGGGTTGGGTGGCAAGGAACGATAGAGGCGAATTTGTGAAAGCTGGAGGAGGTTCATGCAAGGCGGACTGGTCGCCGGCGGAGACTGAGGTTTTCGGTTTGAGGGGGGCAGTTATTGCAGCTTCTGAAGAAGGGTGGGAGTTGGTTGACATAGAAACGGATGTACAGATGGTTGTCCGGGACTTCCAGAAAGGGGGAGGTTTGGCTTACTTGGACTGTTGGACATACTCCCCCATGATCTCCGCTTTCTGATGAGTAGAAAGAGTTCTTACGATATCTCTTTTTATAGACGATCTGCGAATCGTTCGGATCACACATTAGCGAGAAACGCATGTTGTAAGTGGCTAATGATTCATTATTAATATAGTGGCTTGTTCTGGTAAAAAAATAAACAATATTCACTTTAATGAGTTCTGTAAATGCAAAAAAAAAACAATTATACAGTAATAAATTGAGGATCAAGGAATCTGGACAGAGGACCATCACGCGGACACGCACACCTAGGAGGAGGCCCTTCCCAGTGATCCCCCGCGCAATCGGAGTTCATCTCCAAACTTCAGCCTTCCCTTCCATTGGAGGTATATCGCTAAGAGACAGTTCCAGCGCCAAACTAACTGTCCTGATCCTCCTCAGGTACTTCCTCGTGTGCACGCCATGTCCTTTATCCGCATCACTAACCGCCCTGCAATATTCATCTATTTATTCTAATTTTCTGATTTCGACTCGCTTCCCATTTCTATCATGCCACGCGAAGCTCCATGTATCGTGAACAATATCCGTGTTTGTGTTTGAATCTTCTGTATTACTGTATATGGTTTATAGATTTCACTTTTTGCATAATTTTGAAGGGATGTTTTCATTTTAGGGTGATTTTGGAACTGGGATTCATTTATTGTTGGTGCAGAATAGGTCATGGAGGAGGAGGGGCAGCTTAGGAGAGCACTTATTGATGCTACGGCGGGTGCAGTTTCAGGTGGCATATCTAGAACTGTGACGTCCCCGCTTGATGTAATTAAGATCAGGTTCCAGGTAATTCTACTGGATTTCAGTTATGCCAGGAATTGATATGTAGTGGTTTTCTTTGATATTTTCAGTTGCTTTCAGGTTCAACTGGAACCTACTTCTAAGTGGGCAGTGCTTGGCAAGCATGTGTACCAACCTTCCAAGTACACCGGGATGTTGCAAGCGACAAAGGACATCTTCAGAGAGGAAGGCCTGAGGGTATTACAGTAATTCTTTTCTGCTTAGTTATAAACTATTTGTTCATGTGACATTTGGTCACTTGAGTATGTGAATGCATACAGAGTTTTAATCGTGCATTATTAATTAATTTGATAATTATTGCCTTGAGAGTGCCTTCCCTTAAAGGTGCTGCTAATTTTTTCACATTCGTCCTTTAATTGGGAATGTTGCTACAGGGATATTGGAGAGGTAATGTTCCTGCACTTTTGATGGTCATGCCGTATACTGCTATACAATTTCCTGTGTTACATCAGTTAAAAATCATTGCTTCCGGGTCTTCAAAATCAGGTCTTTCAATTTACACCACTAAACTTGTATATACACCTCGTCATAAAATAATTACTCGTGCCTTGTGGAGTTAATGTTCTGTAGCATTATGGGTTTTTGATGGCCTAAATAGCATATAAAATCAAGAGTGAGAACTTATACGTTTCAGTCTTTCAGATAAGCTCACTTCCTGATGTTCATTGCATGCAGAAGACCACATTAATTTGAGTCCAATTATTTCGTTCGTGAGTGGGGCATTAGCAGGCTGTGCAGCAACTCTTGGATCTTATCCGTTTGACCTGCTAAGAACAGTATTAGCTTCACAAGGGGAGCCCAAGGTGACTTGATGACATTTATAATAGACACAATTATACAAAATATTTGTGGTTGTCAGAGTAACATGTAGTATTTCTATGACTTAAGTTATGCCATAGAAAAAGTCTGAATGATGTATAACCGCTTACACTTAAAAGAAGCTTGTTGTATATTGCGCTTATACTCATTTTGGTATGAAGGTCTTTAAGACATTGTTTAGATTATGGAAGAACTAGATGAGAGGAATATAGGTTAGAAAGAGAGGAAAAGGAGAGAACTATCGAAGCTTTTGTGTGTTTTGGTATAAGAGAAACACAGAAGAAATAGTTAGAAATTGTGAATGAATGGATTTCTCATCTCTTTTTTTCTATTAGAAGAAACTAAATGAGTGTATTTCATCTCAACTTCTGTCCTCTCCATCTCACTCCTACGTAAACAAGAGAAATTCTACAGCTCTCTCTTATTTATTCACTCTGACTTCTCTCCACCCTGTTTCTTCCCAAGCAAAGGCTAAATTTGTAAGAGAAAATGAATCCAAGGTGAACGGCCACTGACTTGCCTTCTTTTTTTGAAAGAAATTCAATGCTCGGAACTAGCAATATAGTGATAGAAACACATCCATATAAATCTGAAACGTATTGATGACCATAAATTGATTATCTATAGGATCCTTTTGGGCTTGACAACCATAGGATCAAATAAGCTTTTTATGTCTGAATCTCTATAAAAAGATAAAGTGCTGCAACAAGACCACAAACAACTAAAAGCTGCCATGAGGTGTCAAAGCTAGAAAATAAAACAAGCAGAATCACTTAGATACATGTGGAATAATGCTCTTAAGGGATAAAATGTTTGTTAACGTGTGGATGAGTGATATGAAACCAAATAGTCAAAAACTTCATCGTTCATGCTTAACAAAGATGGAATACAAAAAGAGATGCAAGAGAAAAGGATAAAAGATGAGAGGAAAATAAACAAGTGGCAGGAATTGACCACTTACCTAGTTAAAAGCTGTTTGTTGCATACAGTCTTCACATTCATGTTAGTACATTGCCCTTTTGAGACTGAAGTGGAGTATGAAACTGCAGGTATACCCAAACATGAGATCTGCCTTTGTTGATATACTTAGAAGTCGTGGTGTTCAAGGCCTGTATTCTGGATTGAGTCCCACACTTGTGGAGATCATTCCTTATGCGGGTTTACAGTTTGGCACTTACGATACATTCAAGCGTTGGACAATGGTATATAGGGCTTTACCTCTTTCACCCACTTTAAGCTACAGCTCTACAATTTCTTTATCTGTTTGATCGTCTGCAGCTTGTTTAATTATTCTATAGGCTTGGAACCATCGCAGGCAATTAGGAACGAGTCATGGTGATTTCGCTCCTTCAAGATTCCAGCTCTCTCTGTGTGGGTTCGCTGCTGGAATAACTGCGAAGGTTGCCTGTCATCCCTTAGATGTAGTGAAGAAGAGATTTCAGGTAGATGCTGTACTATATCCTCCTTATTTTTAAGTTTCTTTCTAGGAATATTGCCATGAAGAGAATGGACATTATTCTCTTAATGCACCCGCCCCGAACCACGTTATTAGATATGCACATCGCCAAAAACAATCAAGTGACTGTGAAGCACCAAACATAATTTAGAGCCCTTTCCTTTCTGTCAGTGTTAAGAGGTAACATAGCAGTAGTGTGAGCTAGACAAAAGACAGGAGGGTGATGGGTCCATGACCCCATGTCCCCATTTATGAATAGTGTTTGAACTCCAGTCCTTTCTTTTCTAATTGCCCAGTTTTCAAAGCTCATAGTATAGTGTTCAAAACCATGCAGACTTAATTACATTTTCCTGGTGTAACCTTCAAATTCAGATATGGAACACGTTGAGAAACATGTATCTAATGTTAGTGAATTCATACATGCTTCATGAGGGTGACTTTGGTAAAACAAAGGCAAGTTGGGGTCAAAGTAAAAGATCCAGGTAATTGTGGTCACTTCTTTAATAGGTGTGTTTTGGGTTAAGTGTAGATAGTTAGGAATGGAGGAGTTAATGGGGTATATGTATAAATATCTACGAAAATATGAACCCCCCCTCCCCATAAAAAATAATGTAAACTTTCCGGCGCTGCCCCAGATAGGAGAGTAAGAAGCTACCTACGGTTAAAAAGCCAACCCAATTCAGTGTCTTATTATGACTTGGTTGATGTTTATTCCATTTAAAATCTTGTTCTACCATACAATGTTCCTCCCTACTGCCAACCTTACGTGTAATTTCCTTGTAGGTTGAAGGCCTAAAGAGGCACCCGAGATATGGTGCACCAGTGGAGATTAACGCATACGTAAATATGTATGATGCTCTGCGCCGGATTCTGCTACAAGAGGGATGGGCTGGACTTTATAAAGGCATAGTTCCATCGATTGTCAAAGCTGCTCCGGCTAGTGCTGTTACATTTGTTGCCTATGAATTTACATCAGAGTGGCTTGAAGATTTATAGGGTCAATGAGTCAATCTTTTCATACTTTCCACTGTCACTTTACTCAGAGGCTGAGACTAAGGTAAGCAAGTAGACCTTTCTCATATAGAGTCTGAGACTGAGGAAAGCAAGTAGGCTTTGTCATTCTTTCTTCAACTTATTCATACCCAAGGGGTGTCCCCAGGATGGAATTATTAGGGGGGTGCAGGGCTGCCCACTGTTTTTTTTTGAATTTTTTAAGTCGTACAGTGTAACAAATTTTGTTGGAGGATGTCTTCTGACTTCAGATAGTAAAGTATTGTCATATACTACTACGTACTTCGTATAATATATGGAGAAGGTACAAATTCACACTTGAATTTTTGAACTATATGTTAGAGAATATATACCCCTGAGCTTTCATTTGGAACAATTAACTACAAAAGTTATAAAGTTAGAGCTAATGTACCCTTTTGTCCCACTGGCTGAGGGGTATATATGCTATTTGTTATATAGTTAAGGGATATATATGTTCTCTAATATATAATTTATAGGGTATATTTGCTCTAATTTTAGAAATTATGTGTTTAGTTGTTCCATAACAAAGTTGGAGGGTATTATAATAAAGGGAAATTTATGATTACCCTTATATTTTTAAAAGTCAACTATTTACCCTCTCAACTACGATTAATGTTGTAATCTCCCCCTTCTATCAACATTTTCATCAAATGCATATTTCTTTGACTAAAATACCCTTGTTTAGGGATTATTTCTTAAGTCTTTTTTTTTTTTCAAATTAGGGGGTCCGGTCCGGTCTAGTCTAGTATAGTAGTATTTTGCCGAACTCCTACCCGTATCGTGACTCTTGAAACGGTTCGCTTCGATCTTAGACTTAAACCCGTTCAATACGGTTCTATTTTCAAACGGGATGGTGCCATATCATACTAATATCAAACAATGTCACTTTTCCAAGTGTTTAAGTGAAAGTTAAAGTTTAGTCATCCTATACAAATCCACATAATTTATCAATTTTCATACTCCGTATTACATAATTATTAAATTTTAGATAAACTATAGTAGTACAAATTTTAACTGGTCATGACATTGTTTAGAACCAGTACCATAAAATTTTAACTGCTTCGCGACAATAAAATTGAGATCTCTTTCAAGTTCCGTTTTTCAATCCGGTACCATATCGGTCTGGTTTGACACCATGCCGGTTCGGTATTTTTGCTCGCCCCTACTTCAAATACACAACCGAGCGAATTTTCCTTTGATGTACAAATGGGATTGCGACTAGGAATTGAAATTGGAGCAGAAAAGAAGAAAAACGGAAAGGCACAGAGCACTTTCAAGTGTGCTGCAATGATGCTTGGGAAAACATTAATTTTTTGTTCGAATACTTTTGGAGTAAGCCTATGAAACTTTCAGTTGATGTACTCTTATTTTATACCACTCCATAGTTTAGTTTAATAGATAAGGACAATTTTGGAAATTCCACTTAGAATTAACATTCCAAGCAACTTAAATTTAACAAAAGGGGGATATTCTAACTTCAATAAAAGCTTAAGGGGTAAATGATTCCGTTCTAAAAATATAAGGTTGATTTAATAATTATCACCTAACTTCAAGGGGTAATCATTATTTTCCCTATAATAAATTATTTTAGGGCTCTTTCGGTATAGTTTTGACTTTTGAGTTTTCTGTTTTTGGTTTTTAAAAAACAAAAAACTGTTTTTAGTTTTCTATTCTCAGTTTTTTTGAAATCGTTTTGTTTTAGTGCTAATTCATTTTCAGTTTTGTCATTCCAAGAAACAAATAATTATTGATGGTCTGGTGGTGGTCCGGTGGTGGCCGGTGGTGGTCCGGTGGTGGTCCGGTGGTGGTCCGGTGGTGGTCCGGTGGTGGTCGGTGGTGGTCCGGTGGTGGCCGGTGGTGGCCGGTGATGGTCCGGTGGTGGCCGGTGGTGGCCCGGTGGTGTCCGATGGTGGCCCGGTGGTGTCCGGTGGTGGTTCGGTGGTGTCCGGTGGTGGTCCGGTGGTGGCCGGTGGTGGTCCGGTGGTGGCCGGTTGTGTCCCGGTGGTGTCCCGGTAGTTGGGTATTGAAGATAAAAATGATAACAAATTTATAGAAACTATGTTTTGTGGATTTCAGAATTATGTTTTCGTTTTCTAAAAACACTTACAAAGATTATGATTTTGGAAACAAAAACAACTTTTTACCAAACGTGTTTCTGTTTTTTTTCTAAGGAAAAAAACAGAAACCCAAAAACAGAAACGTTACCGAACGCACCCTTAACATTGTATTTGCCAGATTTTCAGGTTCATCTGGAACTTTTAGGATTGAGATTCAATGTTACAAATAGAAAATTCTTTAGCAAATTAGAAACCTAAATGTAACATTGAGTATATAATAAGAACGTTACGGCCTTACCTGTTGGTCCAAAATAGGACGTTCGTAGGCTTTTAGGAAAGCTACACTAGACACTCAAGCAAGAATCAAGAAAATAAGAACGAATATGGAAAGTTGTTAGAGAGATTTAGTTGCCAAGGATAGCGTGTCCTTCATTTCAACCAGACTTGCCTTTTATAGGCGATTACATATGGTAACTGCCAAAGATACTAATGACTACTTAATTACATTATTAATGCAGAACTAAATACATAATTAAGTCATGCGTTAATTGCTCTGGCCGTTACAGTTCTTGGCTGGCTGGCGGGTCGGCCTGGCTGGCAGCCCGGACGCTTGAGCTCTTGGGTGGCAGGCTTCCGCTCAATTGGATTTGCGCTCCTTGACGGGCTCGATTGGTTGGGCCGGCCTGAGATCCGGATTGTTGGTCTGCTGGTCGGGCCTGTCCGGCCAGGTAATGGTTCTGAGCTTGGGCCTGCTGGTCCAAGTTCGGGACTGGGCCAATTAGGCATTGAGCCTAGTTCCATAACCCCATCACGAGTCCCCCACTCCCTTAGTCGAGTAGTAGACTCGGCTAAGAGGGAGTAGTCCATGTCAGCTGCCAATTTTTTCAAAAATATTCACATACCAGGTAAGGAATAATGGTGGATTCTGTTAATCCCACGATTTATGGAGGTTTCCCAATTTTAAACAAAGCTCGCCCCTCCGCCTCGCCGGGCTCTCCCACCAGCCGGCGGCTCTGCCGCGGCATTCGTCGGTGACAGGCCCAAGCCGGTCGGGCCCTATGCCAGTCCACGAACCGTCCAGCGTCAGGCAGCCAGGCCGCCGCCGCCCCGCGCCTTTGTTTTGAACACAACGGGCCGGGCTGAAGTCTCCACTACCTGGGGCTTCGCGTTGTCCGGCGGTCTCCCTGGCGCTCCTCTTCATCCGGACGGTAGGGTGGTTGCAACCCCCCTTTTCCTTCTTGCTTGCCAATGACGGAAACCATGCGTGCGCGGTGCGCGGGGTCCAGCTTTCTTCCATGAAAGCATCTCGCGGGTCCATCACAAGCTGCTGCCCGTCGCCCCACGCGAGCAGTCCTCCCAGCGTCCGGCTCCTCCTTGGCCGCATAGAGTTGGTTGGGGCCGGCCGGACGCCTTTTACCAGCACGGCATCGCCCAGGAAGTCGGCGATCGTCCTATTGCTGACCGGCTTCACCCCCCATCCAAGTGGTCATGTGGGTGTGAGCCCCCCTGTTGGCGCACTCCAAGTTGACGGGCAGGCTTGACGCCTCGTATACGCTAACTTTCTTTTGTTTTGTTTCTGATGTGCAGGTGCGCTCCATCCCGTTTGACCATGCAACATGGAGGGTGCTCTTCTCATCAAAACAATGGTCAAGGCTCTCACACAGCAATGCAAGTTGAAGTTCAGCCCCTCCCCAAGATATCGGACTCGGGGCTGCCGGCCATCACTGAAGGAAAGCATGGGGCGGCCATGAAACCCATACGGGCCAGCCGCGGCCCCAGACCACGTATGTATGCGGGGAAAGTTACCGGAAGCAGGCTGAGGTTCTCCCAGAGTTAGCCCCAACTAGGCGGGTCACCATTTTCGAGGGTCGACTCCTCAATGTTCCGGACAGAGCGCGCACCCAACCCGTGGATGTGTCAGATTCTGATGATGATTCTGGCGCTCGGGAAGACCCGAATTCTTGGTGGGACCTCGACAATAGCGGGATAGTGAACCTCCTCCCATGCGTCCAAGACGAGGACCTTGCCGTGGCACGTAGTCTGATCGGTGCCGAGTGTTCATCGAAAATTCCGGAGGCTACTGAAGTACTGAGTGATCCCCCGATCCCTTATTTTGGGGTCCATATCCGCTCTCTGGAGTTGGGGATGGTTGTGCCTCTGCATCCTTTTCTGGTTCGATTTCTTCACTTCCTGGGTGTGGCACTAGGCCAACTGGCTCCGGCGGCTCACATGTTCGTGACAGCTTTCGTGGCGCGATGTGAGGATGTGGGCCTCACTCCCACAATCGATTTGTTTTTTAGCTGCTTCCAGTGGCGCGCCTCCAGCTTTTTTGCCTCAGTTTCCCAGAGGCCGGTGAGCAAGCTATTCCGGCCGGGTTACCCCGACTCAGGTAGCCGAAGGAAGAAGAGGTGGATCTGGGTGTCCGACCCCACCCTTCAATCACCTCCTTTCCAGTGGGGTGGCGGCTCCGGAAGTGTGACCGGGTCGCCCTCTCCCCTGACCTCAAGTCATCCATCGAGATGCTGTCCGCAGGCGGTCCCCGCTCCATCAGCTCATACTTAGGTGATCGTCACTCCCTCAGTCTAGGTTTGGCTATTTTGTATTTCACCTTTCTTATCCTTACATTTTCCTTCCGCAGATGTGCCAGACAGGCCTGAGAAGCACATCGTTGGTGCCGAATCCGATGACGAAGAAGCCCAACCATTCACCGCTCATGTAGCTCCTACGGCCACCAAGGAAAAAGAGCATGGAGCTCCCCCAAACCGTGTGGCACAGATTCCGAGGAGGGTGAGGGTTAGGGATGGCAACGGGGCGGTTCGGGGACGGTTTTACATATAACCGTACCCGCCCCATTTGATAATTCCCCGCCCCATTACCCAACGGGTAATTTTTCCCCAAACCGTATCCGCCCCAACGGGTAACGGGTATAACCACGGGTAACCGCGGGTAATCGCTTTATTAAATGAGTGATTGATATTTTAATATAAAAATAATATTTTAAAAGGCAAAAAATGGCATCACCTAGATGACTCTAGACTGAGACGCCACTTTAAAGTTTCGTATATCTACAAGACGAGAAAGAAGACAACATAAATTAATTTGAATCTAAAAATACTTAGTCTGAAAAATAATTATTCACTAAAAAATGTAATAATAATCAAACAAGACTATTAAGATCTATTATGAACTCTCATTGAACATTATAGTTAGTACATCTATTATCCATATACTTAATGAAAATAGAAAAAATCTCATATTCATTTACTTATGGGACAAATAATAGATAAAAATGTAATAAAAATATAACTAAAATAAATGGGGCGGGTACGGGGCGGGTAATGAGGCGGGGATGTATAAAACCGTAACCGCCCCGTTACCCGTAAAAACAAAACGGGTATTCCCCGCCCCATACCCGTTACCCGGTCAATGCGGTTTTCCCCGTTTTGACCGGGGCAGTTCAGTTCGGGTATCCATTGGATCGGTCACAATTGTCATCTCTAGTGAGGGTTACCTTTGGGCCTCAGCCTGCCGCACCAGCGAAGAAACAGAAGAAGAATATTGTCGACTTACTGGTCGAATTGGATGAATCTGATGACGAGGAGGTGGAGCCTCACGTAGCCACTGCTCCTATGGCCCCCAGGCCGCTGCGAGGAAAGGGCACGGAGCCCCCCCGGGCCGAGAGAGGCATGTTTTGGAGGGGGCGACTGTCACCCCAGAATTCCCGTCTGCCGGGCAGGCGCATGAAGCTGCTGGTGAGAAGATGGCTGAGCGGGTTGGATGCGACACTCAGCACACAATTGCTTACACCTTCCCATCTTCGGGTGCCTCGATCATGCACGAGGGCTTCCTGGTCGTGGATTATGCTTCAACGGTCTTACCGCCGGGTGACCTCGCACGTATGACCTCCCAGGGGTTTCAGCCTCTCATGGAGGGTTCTATTCGGACCCATGTTGAGGTGAGTGGTCGATCATGCCTCCGCCATACTCTGTTTTATTCCTCGATCCCATCATAAATTGGTTGCTTTGTTTTGCAGGGACTTGCTAAGACCATTGGGGCACTTTGGGCAACTAACCATTCTCAAGCGAGGCTTCAGCGCGAGGTTGATGAAGTTAGAGCTGCCCTACAGGCTAGGGAGAAAGCTTTCTCCGAGTATTTTGCATCTTTCTTGTCTTCCACTTGTACACGTTGTGTTTTGACTGGGTGTTTAATTTTGAACTCATGTGTTCCTTTTCCTATACTTTGCATTGCGGATACTTGAGCAATTTTATTCGGGGATCTGGCTTTTCCATCTTCCCGGGGGACGATTAGGCTGGTGTGACCAAGCCTATCCGCGCCCCTCCTGGTCAGATAGAAGTGATCTGTTCGCTATTGATATGGAATCAACAGGTATGCGACTTGTTCGGCCAGCAAGGTTGGACTTTGAACATTCGAGGAGGACACTTAGGTCGGCACCCCGGCGTTCATGACCCGGGGGTCAGTCCTACTGTCGCTTTGACCCGTCTAGTTCGCCCGGACTTGGGGAATAATCTGGTTACTCCCGCGGGGTTAGCCAAACAACAAGGGCGGACCCTGCATGATCCACCAGAACGGACCCGCACCACCAACTCGGAGATGGCGAGAGTGCGAGCTGCTTGGCCAGCGATGTCGGGTTGCGAGCACTCGAAAAAGGGACCCAGAGGTTGGCATCTTGAGCGCTCCCGACCCGGGGGTCGGCCCTACTATCGCCTCAACTGTCGCGGTTAGCTCTCTACTTTAGAAAATTGCTCGGATTCTTGAAAATCGCTAGGCTATTTTCAGTTCAAGAGCTTGACCGAGGTCGGCCAAACACCGAGGGGGGGCATAGTATTTTTTTTGCCTCCGCCCTTCATTGCTAAGTGAGGTCGGACCTCTTTTGAAAACAAAATATCGTTAGCAAAGTATATTGAATTCATAATGTGGGCGGACCACATGAAGAATTACAAATTGTAATCATGTGCCCGGAGCACAGGAGTTCATAAAGAAAAAGTGAAATTTCAGCTCTCTACTGATAAAACTTCATCAAGTGTTCGGCGTTCCAGACACGGTCTACTAGCCGGCCTGTTGTCGTCTTCAATTTGTATGTCCCGGGACCAACCACAGCATCAATCACGTATGGGCCTTCCCACTTGATGGAAAGCTTACCCCCCTCCGTCGGCTTGCTGGCCTTCCTACGCCTCAAGACGTAATCACCAACGTCGAAGCTCCGCGGACGGGCTTGGCTGTCCTGGTATGCCTTGACTTGGCGCCGATAGTTCTCTGCTTTGATGAAGGCTCGGTCTCTTCTTTCCTCAATGAGGTGGAGTTCGGCTCTGAGCCTCTCCTCGTTGTCGGCTGGTTCGAACTCTTCGACTCGCCGGCTAGGGACTACGATCTCAAACGGTGCCCCCGCCTCAAAGACATAACACAAGGCGAAAGGGGTCTCCCCGGTCGCCTTCCTCGGGGTCGTCCTGAAGGTCCAAAGTACACTGTTCAATTCTTCCACCCAGGCAGTCCCGAGTGCCTCTAACTTTTTCTGCAATCCATCTACAATTGTTCGGTTGGTGTTCTCCACCTGTCCATTCGCTTGTGGGTAGCAGACCGCGGCTCGACTGGATTCCACCCCCCACTCAGCGCAGAAGGCCTCGCAGTCAAACTGCCTCCCGTTGTCAGAGATTATTTGAATGGGAACTCCGAACCAGCAAAAAATATTCTTCCATATGAATTTCTTACACTGGAGATGTGTGATGCTGGCGAGCGGCTCAGCCTCGACCCACTTCGTGAAGTAGTCTACCACGACGATTACAAACTTCCGGTTTCCCGACCCGGTAGGCAAGGGACCGACCAGGTCAACGCCCCATCTCGTGAATGGGAGGGCGGTGCTGATCGGTGTGTACATTGTCGCTGGCCGGCCGGGGCTCTTCTGGAACTTCTGACATGTCTCACACCTCCTTGCATAATCGGCACAGTCTCGCATTATCATCGGCCAGAAGTACCCCTGGAGAACGACCTTCCTGGCAATTGTGCATGCCCCCTAGTGAGCGGAGCACACGCCCCCATGGAGTTCGGAGACGATCATGTCCGCTTCATGCAGGCACAAACACTTTAGCAACGTCCCATGGTAGGATCTCTTGTATAGCTTCCCGTCCAGGACGATGTAGCCCGTAGCTCGTCGGTGGACTAGCCTTGCTTCATCCTCTCTATCAGGCAGCGTCCCATCGGCCATGTAACGTAGGAGATCGTCCACCCAGCACCAGGCGACCGGTTGCAAGGGGAGGACGTTGACGGACGGTGAGGCTGCTATGTTTGACGTTGTCATCTCCTCAATGCGGGCAATTCTCGAAATGTGTTCGGGCAACCCCTGGGATAGCTTCGAGAGGAGATCAGCGTCCGAGTTTTGATTTCTCGGGACGCAAACCAACTCTGCCTGCTTGAACAGCCCGAGCAATTCTCGGACAGCATCTCGGTACTTCGTCATTCTTTCCTCCTTTGCTTCGAACTCACCTTTAACCTGTGAAACGACCAACCGAGAGTCACATTTGACCGTTATCCATTCTGCTCCCATGGCGGCTGCTAGTCGCAGTCCGGACAACAGGGCCTCATACTCCACCTCATTGTTGGAGACTTTGAAAAGATAACGATAGGCATAGTAGGCCCGGAATCCCTCAGGGGAGATGAGGACGATTCCGCCCCCACATCCCCTTGCTCCGGCCGACCCGTCTGTTGCCAAAGTCCACCACTGCTCATTGCTCTCCTGCTGTTTCTCTGTCACCTCTCGAGCCGTGCACTCCACGATGAAATCGGCCAAAGCTTGGCCTTTGATGGACGTCCGAGGCTCGAAGTCAACCTCATACTGACCGAGGAGCATCGACCACTTCACCATTCGCGCTGTGCCGGGCGTCCTCAAAGCTACACCTAGAGGTTGGTCTGACAGGATTCTAATTGGATGCGCCTAGAAGTAGTGTGTCAACTTCTTTGCGGTGATGTAAGCGGCATAGATCGTCTTCTCGAGCGGGGTGTACCGGAGCTCGGCATTCTGTAGGGTTTTGCTTACATAGTAGACAGGACGTTGAACGCCTTCCTCCTCGCGAACCAGCACGGAGCTGATCGTGCCTTGAGAAACCCCAAGGTACAAGATCAGCGTCTCCTCCTTTTCCGGCTTGCTAAGTAGAGGCTCAAAGAGGAGGTATTTCTTTAAGCCTTCGAAGGCTTGCTGGTACTCATCAGTCCAGACGAAACCATTTTTCTTCTTTAGGACCTGGAAGAAAGGTAGTGATTTCTCGGCAGACTTCGACATGAAACGCCCGAGGGCTGCTAGCCGACCGGTGAGAATCTGGACTTCTTTCACCGATCTCGGGGGTTCCATGTCAAGTATTGCCCTCACCTTCTCGGGATTTGGCTCAATCCCTCTCCGTGTGACCATGTATCCCAGGAACTTGCCTCCCTGGACAACAAAAGTGCACTTCTTTGGGTTCAGGCGCAGTCGGACTGCCTTCATGATCCCGAAAATCTCTTCTAAGTCATCTGCGTGGTCGGCCGCTCGGGTGCTCTTGACGATCATATCGTCGACGTATGCTTCCATGTTCCTTCCGAGCACCTTCCGGAATACTTTGGCCACCATCCTCGTGTACGTTACCCCAGAATTCTTCAGCCCGATGGCCATGACAAGATAGCAAAAAATTCCCTCCGGGGTAACGAACGAGGTCTTCTCCGCATCGTCCTCATGCATTAATATCTGGTGGTATCCTCGAAAGGCGTCCATGAAGCTAAGGAGCTCACACCCGGCCGTCCCATCGACTAGTTGGTCGATGTTAGGTAATGAGAATGGATCCATAGGACATGCCTTGTTGAGGTCGGTGTAGTCGACACACATCCGCCAGGTCGGCGGCTTCGAGGCTAGGACCACGTTCACCAGCCATACCGGGTATAGGACCTCCCGAATATACGAGTTTCGCCGATGGGTCGACCGCCAACCGGTGGACAGCGATGCTTCGGTCGAGGCCGGGCATGTCCTCCGGTCCCCACGCAAAGACAACGCTGAAAAGGATCAAGACTCGGATGATTTTTTCCCTCAAGCCGGCCGGGAGGCCGATTCCAATCTTGACCTTCCGCTCTGGCCTCTCGGGGTCAATCTGGATTTCCTCCACTTCCGAGGTGGGTTCAGCACGGAGCTGACCCTCCTCATATTTCATGGCCTTGTTGTTGATAGTATGGACTCTCAAGTCCTTCTGGCCGATTTGCTTGCAGGCTTTTAGATAGCATCTCCTAGCCATCCGCTAGTCTCCCCTAGCCACTCCGACACCATTCGGAGTGGGGAACTTCATGCAGAGGTGCTCCTGGGATATCACACACCTCAGGTCCTCCAGGGCCGGCCTCCCCATGATGATCTTATGCGGACAAGTTAGGCGTACGACTATGAATTCGACGTTTAACTTGGACACGCAGGGCTCGGAGCCCACCATCACAGGGAGGACTATGCTGCCTTCCGACTCAATGGAGTCCCTAGTGAAGCCTGATAGTGGGGTTCTCACCGGGATCAAGTCCTTCTTGTCCAGGCCGATCCCCTGGAAGGTATCATAGTACATGATGTTAACGGAGCTCCCGTTGTCTACCAGGACCCGGTGCATGACAGTGTCGATCTCGATCTTGATCATCAAGGCATCCCTGTGCGGCGGCGGCATCGGCGGTAAATCTGCATCGATGAAGAAGATGGGATCCCTCTTCACCTTCTTGTTGGCGGGTATCCTGGTTATCTCTCCGACGTATAGGGCTCGGACCCATTGCTTCCGCTCTCCCGATGTATCACTTCCCTGGGATCCCCCGAAGATGTATGAACACCGATGGTGTTTACGGGAGCCGTTGACCGGGCTGAACTTGCAAGTATACAAGTGCCGATATAGTAATAAAATACCGGTAAATACCGGGTCGATCCACAGGGAAATGGTTGATATTATAAAGTCGAGTATTGAATGCAAAAGGATATAAATGGTATAGTTTTTCAGGAACTTTGCTCTTTGAGGTTGATTTAAACAAGAATGAGAATTACTAAGGCAATCGGGATTCACCTAAATGCTTTAATAGTTATTTAATAATAGTTCTTTCCCAATAATCATGAATACGATGTCACTAATATATTCTCAACTCCGGTTAAGGCAGCGAGAGCGTGGTTTTCGTTACGTGTAAGTCCCGTTACGGCTTACATT